AGAAGATAAAGATATATTAGTAGCAACAAGTAGTGTTGTCTTTGACTCGCCATCCCATGTTTCAAAAAGAAACTCCAAATAATGTTTTTGTTTTTATTTCTTCTCGTATACTATACAGGGTTGTTCACCACATACGACACGGAGTATTGTAGCAGTAAAAATATTAAAGCTTCATTTCTCCAAGGGTATCAATGTTTTTAATACTAAATATTTAATGAAGTTTATTTATTGATCAGTTATTGTGTTGCAATAATAAAAATAATACTACCTTATACAGAGTGTCTATAAATTTATTTTAAATAATTATTAGCTTCAAACGGCAATAACTTCTTTAATTTAAATAGAATGCCCTGTATATTTTAGGAGAATCAGATGCACAATTAAATTGTCTATCAAATTGTATTATACCATTTTTTACCTATCCCTTCAAGTTTTCGCAGAAAATGCATTTTCTTATAATTTAGACCTCATTTATCAATATATCCATGGAATATTGACATTTTAGATTGTTTTTAAAGCAACAAATGTATAAAATGTACAGACTAGTAATATTATCGTTTTTAGCAAAACGATAATATTGCTATATATAATGGGCTAGTAATATTATCGTTTTTAGCAAAACGATAATATTACTAGCCCATTTGTATGCAAAAAGAAAACTATTTAAATCTTTATAAAAGAGTATACCATTAATTAAATATAACACCATTATTTCCGCCCATATACTAATTAATTACATACTTAATTGTGTTCGTTAATAAATTATTATAAATAAATGTGGATTTGAGTCAGAAATCAATATAATAATAAGTTATCAAATTAAAGTCTCTGTTGTTATAAATAAGCATTTATTAAAAAATGAAATATCATTTTAAGGTGTTACTTTTATATCACACTGTCTAATGCCCATACAAAATTCAGTTTTTTAGTATTTGGAGCAATTATTATTAATCAACGCAACCAGTCAATTAATGTAGTTTGAATACTGGAATCATATTAATTGGTCCTCTTTAACAAATATTTAAACAGTTTTTTTATTTTTAATGAAATAAACGAATTATATCGACAATATCAGTATCTGTACTCTTTAAAAATTTGGTACATCTTTAAAAATAATCTAAAATGTCAATAGTCCATGGGTATATTGATAAATAAGTTCTAAATTGCAAGAAAATGCATTTTCTGAAAACTTAAAGAGATAGGTAAAAAATGGTGTAATATAATTTGATGAACAATTAAATTGCATCTGATTCTCGTAAAATATACAGGGTGTTCCATTTAAATTAAACAAGTTATTGCCGTTTGAAGTTAATAATTATTTAAAATAAATTTTAGACACTCTGTATAAGGTAGTATTATTTTTATTATTACAACAACTGATCAGTAAATAAACTTCAGTAAATATTTAGTATTAAAAACTTTTGATACCCTTGGAGAAATAAGCCTTAAAATTTTTACTGCAATTTCACAAAATTGAAAATATTTCAAAACGGTAAGGTTTAAGTATAATAAACCTTAATCAAATTTACCTTTATTTTAATCGTAGAAACTAAAAATGTAATAATATACAGGGTGTTCCATTTAAAAAAATACAACTTTGATATTTTTTACTTATTTGGGACACTCTGTATCTTGTAAAATTATTTTTAAATTATACCTCTAATAGTCCTTCATCGAACCCAAAACTTACAATTTGTAAAAATCTTATCGTTTAGCTACAATACCCCGTGTCGTATGTGGTGAACAACCCTGTATAGGTATACGATATATAGGTATACTCTCGTATACTATATATTTCTTTTTTTTTTCTTAACATCGTCAACCGAGTTTATATTTAATGCTAAACAAATCTCCTCTGCACCAGCTTTCTTGTAACAATTTGTAACAATTTTGTAGTCCTTGTTTTTATCCTCCCATAATAATAAATGCGCTCTATAAAGCTCTATTAGTTTGCAAGCATTTTCCTTGTTTCACTTTCTCTCTTTTGACATTTTTTTTTATAAACATTGAGCACTCCATCATATACTAATTCCATATATTGCAATACCAGCACTCCACAGTACTAAATTTGTGTGACTCTATTGGTTCCGGATACTTTTGGCAACACACGACATCCACACTGCACCGACAACTTGTCGTAAAATGCACGACAAAACAGAGACTCTTTGAACTTTACCTCGAGACGGGACGTTCAAAAGTCTCCGAATTTGGAAACAAAACAAAAATGTCGCAGAAATGTATTGGATTTGTCGCAACTTTGTCGTAAAACATGTATGTTTCTGTCTTGTCGCTGTTTTGTCTGTTTGGTCTGGACTCGGCTTTAGTTCCGGTTTTTTAATAGCGTCCTCCGTCGCTCTCTAGTCTTCATGCGCTTCCTCTGTTGTCCCACGTCTGTCAACATAATCTACTATGAAACCTTATTTTCTGGAATAGAATCAAGTATGTAAAGGTGTGTTTTACGATACAGCATGAAACAACTAAACGACAACAGTTATTTAAATAAAACTAAGTAATATTACTGTGCTTTTTAGTATCCAACTTAATTGTCTATCATTTGATTTAAGTAAGAACAACCTTCCGATTGACACGGGTTTTTTTAACAGGACACTGTCTCCTCAATGAACACCTCAGTAAATTGAAGCTGAGAAACAACGGTGAATGCAGATTCTGTGGGGAAAATGGGGAAACACCAGAACACTCATCATCGATTGCGCCAAGACGACAACCGTTCGTGCCATATATTTTGGTACGGCTGATGTCGGAGATGGAGGGCTGTCCCCTGTGGAACCGTCTTAGATACTGGCTTTTGTCAAAGCCCCGAGACTGGATGGTGAGTTATAACTCGTTATAACTTAAGAAAGGGGACCACACAATAGATCTGGCAAACGATGGCAAACCATAAACAATATTTAAACTCTTTTTGGACATGAACGTCACGTTTTTTCGAATCGTATACGCTGGCTTTAGTATATCAGGAGGTATTGCTTTGGGACTCCCATCCAACTAACGTGGCACGTTATTTAAATTCCACGGCTTGGCAATGTCTAATTATTCGCTGAGCAACGAGATCATCGAAAAAAAAAGAGAAAAACACCGCATACAACAGAAAAAATGCACATCGAAAAGTAACAAAAAAAGGACGGAGAAAAACCCTTGCTCCTAAACCTAACTATTAACTATTAGCAGGCGGTTTCGTGAGCTGGCGTCTACCTGCACTTGTTTTTCCCATTAAATAAATTGGCAGGCAAAAAACGTCTCTGGGACGAACCACGGCTAATCAATCATTAGAGCTGGGGGTTTATTCCAATTTATTTAGACTTTGACTATTTGAATTTTGAACAAAAAAATTGTGTTTGCACTATGTGCGCATATTTGAAGTAAAACTCCTTCTTACTTTTGTCTATCCGTCTGTCCGCCTGTCCGATTGCCGAGTTTGGTTCCAACTGACCCGTAATTAAGAAAAATCCTGATGATTTCGTCCATTTAGAGGTATACAAACTTTATTGATGGTAACTTTATGGGTGTATAAGACTTTCTGCCTGGGTACCGAGTATTAACTATAAACTGTGCTCTGGGTCTACAGTTAATGTTCCCTCGATTTTTCCTCCACTTGACGTCAAAAGATACAAAACACACCTAATAACACGAATCAAAATGCATTATCTTCCAAAACGCAGATATTTGACATAAGTTGACACAAAATTATAACCTATAATTTGGCAAGACCAATGACTAAAGAATCCAAGGACAAATAACACCCGAGAGCAAATTATTACGATGTCACCAAACAGTGCCGTGGCCATATTTTTCTTTGACTACGCCTATGGTGTATACCTATAAGCTGGTATCATGCTAATTAATTACGAAAAAAACGTATTAAAATGTTAACAAAAGGTACAAAATTAGTATCGACGCACACATCAGTAATCATAGTAAACGGACACATCAAGTACATATATCAGAAAAATAATTATCGAATTCAATAAGAAAACTAAGAAAACGCTAAAAAGGTGGAGCGAACTGTTTATTTACGTATGAAACGTAACTCCTGGCTCTTACTTATCGCTGCCGCTTTTACACTTGAAAGCTGAACAACTAATCACCATTGTAATAAAGTTTATACAAAGTTCACTATTCACAAACTATTAAAAATTGCTAAAATTGTCGCTGGTGACCAGCACATGACCCATTCTTTGCCATCAAAAGAATGGCGTCTAAGGTCACAAATTCTGCTGCAGCCCGTATATGGGCGTTATATGTCCTTATATTCTTTAGTCACTGGGCAAGACTTTGACAAGCCTCAACAATCTAAAGGCGAGTTCATACGCATCGGCGTCCGTTTGTCGTTCATCGTTCCGCCAAACCAATAGAATTGAAATATGATCTGTCAATTTTGAAATAAACCAATAAAACTAGTTAAAAACAACAAGACACGACGCATGACGGATATTGTAATGAGATATATTTAAACCCATCCATAGTTAACTTAAAAAATATTAGAAACTTTTTTTAGTAAAATAAATTGATTGGTATGGACGTCATCTGCTTTTCTTCTGTCATCGTCTGTCGAAATCTTACCTGAGAAAAAAACACAGAGTATAAATCGGACGGTTTTTTTATTTAATTCATCGATGATTGGGTTGTGTAGGGCACGAAACGTTGTCAAAATATCATGAAAAGATGGGGCTCGAAGTGAAAATAAGTATCTTTGGGAATAATTTACATAACTAATTAAATAACTGAAATGAACTGGATGAAATAAAACTTAAAAAAGTTTTAATAAGGAAGGTGATTCTCTATCTACAAGTTATTTGCATACAATTACGATTTTTTTTTCAATTTCTTTGCATCTATTGTTGATCTTTGTTAGTGTGCTTTTTTTTTATTATAACGAGTCGTTTAACATGGTTTTCTTTTTGTTTCAGGTAAGCCCTTACTTAACGTTCAAGAGAATTCACCTGCAGCTCTCGATTCCATTCACCACTTGTGATGGAATCAAGAGCTGATGATTTCAAATGCATGTAAGTATACCTATGAAATTGAATCTTGGAATGTATAACCATATTACAAAATGAAAAGGGCAATATTGTACACCAATAGTCTCAAATCCATTATTAACAATGTAACCAATATTTTACGATCTAAAAAAAAACAGCTACAGTTTTTATTTTGACTATGGAGTGGTTTGGATATCTTGGTCTAAAATTGTTGTTTCGCTAGCTATTTCGTCAATCTTTGTGTTACTGGTTTACGCCTGTACGGCCATAGCACTCTTATTATTTCAAAATACTTTTTTATCCTATCGGTACGTTTCATTCAGGATAATAAAGCAGCAATATATTTAAATTTTTCCTATTTTCATAGTATAGCAAAGTCATGAGAAATATTATAAATTGTATTCTTTGATAATAATTGATGCGATGGAAGGTTACCAGCAAATAGCGTTAATAATTATGGCTAATAATTATTATGGTTATTGTTTTATTGATTTTTCTATTAATCATTATAATATATCTATTGCATAAACGCTTTTAAAAGATGAGATTTTCACATACGGTGCTACACAGATAACGTCCAATGTCGAGAACCTTGTCAGAATAAGAATTTTGTTGCAAATCCATTTTTATGTTATTTAGTTCATCCTTAAGGGACGCTTGGTCATAGGTCATAGTATAAGATTTTTGTTAAGTGGCATAATGTTTTTACTGTTATCCTGATTTTTCCAGACAGTATTTTCTATTTCCAAGCAGAAGTTTTTATCTTTATCAAATGGTAAATTTAATGGAGTTATTCTGTGAACTGTGGTGATTGAGGCGTCACCAGCTAGTTTAATAACCGGCTGATGGCATTAATATTATTAATTATGATTATAATTATAATCGTTAGCAAAACGTTATTATAATAAAAAAAATGTTTTTTTTAATTTTAATCGAATTTTTTAATTTAATCCTCGTAACTCTGCCCGATATCGATAATATTAACATTTCTGCGGCGCTTGTCGTTTTTGCACATCGGTCATCGATATTAATTTTCTTTTATTCTGTAAACTTTGCTGATGCCCCTATGTCCACAAAAAAATCGCCCTCTTGGATCAAAGGGATTGTTTTTGGAAATAGTCATGACTGTCTTAAGTCGAGGATAACATTCAAGTGCAAAGTACTTATTGCAGGACAAGATGTCGGAAGAAATTTGGAATGAACTAGAAGATAAATTAGGGAAATCAGAAGTTAACTTGATCAATATTTAGCTATTTCAAAAAAGATATTAAACAGCATATTTTTGACATTGATTATAGTCCTCGGGAATAAAAATCTAACCTGACATCAGAAGAAACTAGTTCTGCATTAAAGTTTGCGAATGAAATTTATTCGAACAGCGGATTTCACAATTACAAAATAAATTTCTGCCATTTAGAAGTCTAAGGGAGTCGAAACAGCTTTAAAAATCGACCAAAATTTTAATAGATGAATAGTATATGTTTTTCAATTATTTTTCGACTTATTAAAGTATTTAAACGTTATAACAGCAAGTGTAACTTTGTATTAGATGAATCAATATAGGGCATATATGTTACAGGCATATTTCTTATAGCTTTATAAGAAAAGTTTTTATAACTTTTACAGTTATTGTCCGATTTATCTTAAGATTTTAAACAAGTGGAGTTTTTTAATTTAAATCAGTGACTTAAATCATTGCACCCTGTGCGGTATTGGAAGTGTAAGTGTAGATAAACTTTATAATCATAATCCTTTAAATACATATTTGCCATATTATCTAAGTATTGTGCGACGTTCATCGGTGTACGGTCGTAGCTTCTTCAATAGTTTTAAAGGCTCTGCCGTTTCGCAGCTCAATTATATGAGCACAAAGGCTCAATGTAGGTATATCTTATGCACATTTACGTAATGACTATCCGATATTTTCCAGTCAATAAAGGCTAGTATGAAAAAGGCTGCAATAAGGCGAGGATGGTAAATGGGAAAAAGATATTACATGACAACTCATTATCAACAGGGCATAGATGTTAGCCGACAAGCTATAGTTTGAATAAAGTAGTTTTATATACAGGGGCGACAAATTTCTGAAATACCGCTGTGATATAAATGTTATATACATTTGTCGTTGATCGGATGCATTATTTAGTTCCTGACCATTTCTATATTTTTAACTCAAATACCATACGATAAATAGTCGCCGCGATAGTGACCTTTGAATCGAGTAATCGAGGAAAATTTGATTATGTGTTATTTTTAAAAACTACCACCGAACAGTTATTTTAAATTTTTAGTTAAAAAACATCATCATTTTCAGTTTAATCAATCATTTCCAATTATAGTGTAGCCTCCCTCATATATTTAGATACTCTCTTTGTAGCTGGGTCCATTGTTGTCTATTGTTGGCTATGCGGGCCCAAGTTATCCTTGCTAATTGCATAATATCATGGTCCCATCTCAGGTTCGGTCTTCTTCTAGGTCTCTTAATTCCTCGTGGGTACTTCCTGTAATTCTTGTGGTTCATCTGTTGTCCGTCCTTCTTGCTCTTGCCAGGTGTCCTGCCCATTGCCACTTGAGGTGTTTGACTCTGTGGATGGCATCTATTACCTGGGTCTTTTGTCGTCGTATCCACTCTATTCTTTTACGGTCTCTCTTGGTTATTCCCAGCAATATTTTGTTCCATTGAGCGTTGTGCGACCTGCAGTTTTCTTATAATGTCCGTTTTAAGTGTCCAGGTTTCGCACGCATAGGTCATGACTAAAAACTAAAAAAATACAATGCCAAACATTTTTTCAAAAAATTCCAAATTCTCATAATTTTTTTTCGCAAAAAAAACCTCATAATCGTGTTTCTGGATCGAGAAACTATGTTACGCTCGTTGAACTTGATACTTTCTGTCAGATTAATAATATATTTTCGTACTTTTGTGCCTAGGCGTAAAAGTGCTTCACTTTTATGCCTAGGCGTTAAAATGACATTTTTATATCGTTAATAACGTCACAAAAATTAATAATTTTGTGACGTTTGAAAAAAAAAACATATATTTTAAACAATTTTTTACAATTTTTATAACTTTGCTCGGGTTTTGACAGGAAAATTTAAGTTTTACCTTATTTTTAAAACTTGTATAAAAAGAAATATATTTTTCTTAAGTCTGTACTGTATGGTACCTTATGGTAAAAATGGCGTTAAGTTACCTTAGAAATGACGATCGATGAAATTTCGTATGTAAAATTATACCAGGTGTTGCATCGTCGAGCGGGGAAATCCCATGTAAATTTTAATGGGGTCAATTATTGGCTTCCCTAATTATTTTAGAGAATAATTCTATTTAGATTTATTGAAGAGCACTAAAACCCACATTCAAAATTTTACGAGTTATCGCCGATTTCTTTTTAAATATTTCTCCTTTCTTATGGCCCTGTATTTGCTTATGAGCACCAGTCAAGGTAAAAGATAACTGTCAAATGAAGTTGTCATTTCAGAAATTTATCTATTTAGTGCTTTATTATTATTATTAAAAACTCATACCTACATCGAAAATATTAGCCATGAATTATACTACCGAAGGTATTGGTATTATCAAGGAAATAGTTATCAAAAGGTGTCGGACATGTTCGCTGCTCTGTATCCGATTAGACCGATACCTGGAAAATCTACAATCGCAAGGAATATCCAGAGATTTCAGACCAAAGGTACCCTAATAAATAACTGCAGATGTGAAGCAAGGCAGGAACAAAGAGAATATGCAAGAAATGATACCGACTTGGAAGTTTTATTGTGCGTGGAAGAGAACGATGGACAGCGTTTCGAATTTTGAAACGACATAAATACTATTCCTTCAAATATGAAAAGCACCAAGAGCTACGAGATGGGGACGAAATACGGTGGCAGGCGTTTTGTTTTGATATGATGGAAAGAGCAAACACTATAGGGAATTTTAAAAAACATATGTTTCACTGACGAATGCACGTTTACCTTAAATAATGAACCCAATGTTCAAAATTATCGATATTGGAACAAAGAAAACCAATATATTAATATTTTACCTGCTTTACATGATGCCGCTAGGAAAAATCAGGAAGTTTGGTACCAAATGGATGGCTGCCCGGCACATAGTACCCTGGCTGTTCGGGAATATTTAGACAATAGTTTTAACGGAAACGTCATTGGCCTAAATCATACAGTAAATTGGTCAGCAAGGTCCCATGATATTTCGCCAAATGATTTCTCTCTCTGGGGCCATTTAAAAAACAGGATATACAAGGATAAAAACTACCCAAATCTAGACGAGTTTAAAAATGCTATTTCTGCCGAATGCAATAGAATTTCAGTTTACCAACTAGCGAATGTAAGAAGAGAATTTTATGATCGCCTGGGTTATTGTCTAGCAGTCGATAGAGGAATATTTGAACATCTTTAAATTCTAAAGTTCTAACAATTTAATAGTACTTAAATTAATAAGTTATTGAATATTGTAATAATACTATAATTAACCTTGTAATTGATTACTTTATTTTACTTTAATTCATATTAATTTGTATTTATAAATACATCTTTAAGATTTCCGATGTAGGAATGAGTTTTCAATAATAATAAAGCACTAAATAGGTAAATTCTGAAATGACAACTTCATTTGACAGTTATCTTTTACCTTGACTGGTGCTCATAAGTAAATACAGGGCCATAAGAAAGGAGCTAAACGAACTAATCAAAATTATCTAAAGTTATTCTTTTGAATGTGGGTTTTAGTACTCTTCAATAAACCTAAATAAGAATTATTCTCTAAAATAATTTTGGAAGCTAATAATTGACCCCATTAAAATTTATATGGGATTTCCTATGTCCCGTCCGACGATGCAACACACGGTATAGTAAATGTCGTTGGTCGTTATTTCCATCCATTGAAAGTTTTTAGGGCTGTCACAGCTGGCTTGGTCAAGCTTTTGATCTTAAGATTAATATAACATAGGTTTTGAAATTCTTATTTACGATAACATACCAGATGAAACAAATTTAACAAAAAC